ATAACCTTTTGTTGTTGAAGTAGAAGGCCTAATCTAGTGGACTGGCAAGAATATGGTACTAACTGCATCTCTACAAACATAAGTAATGCGCTGGTCCGTTTGGTCGGTATGCGCGTCTGTAGTGCAGGTACCATGTACGACTGGAATGTCTATATCTGCCAAATTACATAGATCCGATAGGTTAAAACATGGTATGGGGGTGGGGAATGGTATAATTTGAAGGAAATGGGAATACATATGGTATTCACTATATGCCGTTAGGTCAGTATGCACGCTTGTGTGTAGGTACAAGGCGGAACTGGAACTCTGAAATCTCCCAAATTATGTGGATCGGAAAGGATATAACCTAGTGTTGTTGAAGTAGAAGGCCTAATCTAGTGGACTGGCAAGAATATGGCACTAACTGCCTCTCTACAAACATACGTAATGCGCTAGTCAGTTTGGTCGGTATGCGCGCCTGTAGTGCAGGTACCATGTGCGACGGGAATGTCTGTATCAGCCAAATTACATAGATCTGATAGGTTAAAATATGGTAGGGGGGTGGGGAATGGTATAATTTTAAGGGAATGGGAATACATATGGTATTCAATGTATTTGTACAGAGAGAATAATGCGTCGGCCGGTAAGGTCAGCCACGTGGCTTGCGGCGTCCTTGCTGAAGATGATGATGTTGTCGATATAGCAGGCCGCACAATCGATGCCGCGCAGTACGGTATCCATGGCCTGCTGAAAGATCGCCGACGAATTCTTCATTCCGAACGGCATGCCGTTCCACTCCCATAGTTCATCCACGCCGTGGAACGCTGTCTTTGCTTTGTCTTCTTCACGTATCTGGATCTGGTTGAAACCCTGTCGCAGGTCCAGCGTGGTGAAGACCGTTGCTCCTTCCAGCTTGTCGAAGATGTCCTCCAGCACCGGCATCGGGTAGCGGTTCGCCTTCGTGATCTTATTGAGATCCCGGTAATCTCCGCACATACGTCGTGAGAGCACTTCTCCCGCATATTTTGAAGTGGATCGTCGGATCAAGCCCGCCTCCAGCAGCTCTCGGCACTTCTCCCGGCATACTTCCTCATCCGCTCTTGTCATCCTTCGCTTGCGCTGGTAGGTGGGCATGTCCGTCGTCAGCTCAATCTTCATCTCTCCCACCTTGCTCTTGCCCAGCTCTTTGAGCGAGAAGGCGAATGCCCCCCGATAACGCCTCAGCATCTCCTTCATGGCCTCCGCCTGTTCTGCGTTCAAAGCCGAGCCCACCTCCCATTCCTTCTCTGCTCCTCCCTCGACGGCAGTGCCTTCTGCTGGCGCCTGTTCTGCTCCTGCGTCTGCGGTAGTTCCTTCTGCTGGCGCCTGCTCTGCTCTCCCCGTCAGGGCCATGAAGCCTGACATGCAGCTTCGCTTCGCCACTCTGCTTTTCACCGCCAGCGCGCCTTCCTCTCCGGGTGGCCATCCCCTTTTTCGTACCTGCTCCTCCACTTCGGTCAGCTTGTCCAGGTTCCATTTCAGGTTGCCGAGCTGCCATTGCGCTTCGCTGTTGGGCCCGGCCCCTTCAGCCCACCACTCCTTTTCTTCCACCTTGATCTCCATGTCCCAGAGTAGGAGTTGGACTTCCACCGTATGCAACAGCCACTCCACCGCTTGCACGTCCATTCCTTGCCCCAGAGCCCGCTTTCGCTCCCACTCAGCCACTCCTTCAGCCGCAGTGGCTCCTGGTAGAAACCCCATGGCCAATTCTCTTTCCAGTGCCGTGGGTTCTCCCCATACTCCTGTCCGCAAGTCCTTCACCATTCCTGGTCCTGGCGTTCCCTCCCTCATCTGGAATGCGTAGGATCCAGCGTGCGCTACCAGCGTGGGCCACGCCTCTCTCGGTTGATCAGGTGTGTTGCAGGGGTATAGCGCTGGGTGATCTGGGTAGCGCACGGGTGCCTCTTGCCGGTTAGGCTCCAATATGTCTCTCACCAATCTGGCCTCCGGCCTTTTTATTTTCGAGAGCTCGAGTCGCAAACGCCCCTCAGAGAGGCCGTTCTGCCAGTAGCGGCGATCTCGGTGTGACCTCGATCCCGCTTGTGCCGCGTCCATCGCGACACCTGCCCCTAGTAGAGATGTCACCCTTTGATATGCCGCCCTGACTGGCTCTCTCGGGTCCGTGGCGAAGTCCGGATTTTCCAGTATGTACAGGTACTCCCCATGAATCCTATGAATCATCTGCATCACCCTCACCATATCCTCGAACAGCGCCGACCTCTCGTCTTCGAATCCGAGCCCGTCTCCCGCTCTGGACACTCCTTGGCACTCCCAGCCGGCGATCAGCACATCCACTCTCCCCCACGATGCTATCTGTGCTTCCGTTATTTCTTTCACGTCATGTCCGACTTGCCCCCAGTTGCCGTCCGTAGCCCCATCCAAAACTTGTCCAGGGTAGGTGCGGCGCAGCATCTCCACGTGGTGCTCTGCCATCTTCCGTACTCTGGGGTTCGCTTCCACGTAGATCCACTTTTCTATCCTCCACCCCGCTTTCAGCGCAGCTGCCAGTCCGGTTCCCAACCCTCCGAACAGTTCCAGCATCCTCACAGGCTTCTGCAGTATCCGTTTGTCCAGCAGCTCTCTGGGAATCACCTCCTTCCTTTCGGCCCATGCCTCTCGAGTCTCACGCTGCTTCAACTCTTCTTCGGCCTCGTACCAGCTCATTTCCCCGAGTTGATCTTCCAGCTCCACCGACCTAGCCTGGTAGGCTCCTTTTGGTTCTTGGCTTACGAACCGCACCGGTAAGGTCCCACTTGGTCCTCCTGGCCTCCAGAAGCGTGGCCTGTTAATCACCTTCTCCTGCCAAGTGCAGATCGTAGCTCCCACCGCGTACAGCAGCCGAATTCCCATCAGCAGGCCGTAGTCTTCGGATTCAGTCACCCCGCAGGTCAGCTTCACGCGGCACTCATCCCTCTCTCCGGGCTTCAGCACGATCTCCACGGTGTTACGGGTGCACGGCAGCCACTTCGGTTCTCCTCCTTCGGCGGTCATGACGGAGAAGCCGCGCTCCCTCAGCCTTCCTTCCTCGTGCAGTTGCATCTGCTCTGCCAGCCCTTTCCCAATTAGCACGTGGTGAGAGCCTGTATCAATGATGGCCATGTCCACCGGGATTCCTGCCACGACTACTGCACCTTTCGCCGCCACCAGCACCGTTGACTGGCACAGCATACGCTCCTTCGGATGCCGGTACGCTTCGTCCTCGAATTCGGGGTTCTCCTCACATCGCTGTTCTCTGGCACATCCTCCGCCCGGCATGCCCGCTCGCAGCACTCCGTCTCCCCGCTGCCAGTGTTCCTCTCGTCTTGTTCCAGGCCTTGCCATGAGCGCGAATGACGCGTGACTCTGAGTCTCCTCGTCTTCTTCCGTTGCTACGAACATCGCCCCGGCCCCTCGTTCCTCTCCTCCCATCTCCTCCAGCTGCTCTCGAAGCTTACGCATCTCTTCCTCGATTTCACCCCGGCTCTTGCTTCTCCCTTTCGGTGGGCGCTTGGCGTAGCAGTCCGCTTCTCTGTGACCCTTCATTCCGCAATTCTTGCACGTGGGGCTTTTGGGGCAGTCTCGTCGTAGATGTCCCGTCTCCCCGCACGTGTCGCATCGCGGTGCTTGGGCGCAATCCCTTTGTATGTGTCCAACTTGCCCACATCGGTGGCATCTCCTCCTGTCCGCACTTGGGCTTTCGTCGCGCGTTCTCGTTTCCCCTTGCGGGCTGGCCATCCACACTCCCCGGCGACGCTCTGCTCCGCTGGTCTCTGCTTTTTCCAGCTCGTATAGCTTTAACCCGGTCTCGTATCGGCATGCCAGATCATATACTTGGTGTAGGGTTGCTTTCCATCCCATCTCGAACACCTTCCCTCGTAGATCCTTGACCATGTTCTTATCCAGCCCGTTGAGAAACTTGCTGATCAGACGTCGCTCATCTGTGCGTTCCATATCCAACGCCAGCTCTCGCAGGCGCCCGTAGTAGCTCAGCAGGGACTCTTCACTCCTTCGCTCGAAGTGCGCGAACTGCTGCACCTTTTCCGGTGTCTGCACGGGAAACTGCCATTTCAGGTTCTCCAGAAACTCGTCGACGATGCCCCACGGTGGTCCCTTCTGGCATCGGTATTTCTCGATCAGCTCCTCCCGCGTGATGCGATAGTATGTCTCTGCTTCGCCCGCCAGCGTGTTTGACAGCCCACGGAAGAATTCCTCTGCCTCTAGTCCATCTCGCTTCCAGCGATACCGCACGTTGTCGATCTGCATCAGGTAGTTTCGCAGATCTGCCCCCACGCCCGCCTGCCCGACGAATCTTTCAGGGACCTTGATTTCCGGTAGGTTTATGTACTTCCACTTCTCGCCTCGCTGGCTTGACACTCCTTCTTTCCTCACTTCGGATCCTTCCTCCAATTCCGCGGCCGTCCATCGTTGTCGTTCCATGGAGCCGGCGCGCTGCAGTGATCCACTTCCTGACTCCACGCTGGCTCGCGTAGGGTCCTCTTTCCCGACCGCTAGCAGATCTCCTTGGCTCCGCCGGCGTGACGGGATACGATAAACTTCTCCTTCTTCCATGCTGGTTCCCACCGACGCTCTCCCTGACCCCGCCACTCTGCGGCTTGTCTGGTCTGAGCCTTCGTGCATCTCGTCCGACGTCTCGTTACCTCCAGAGCTTTCTGGCTGGTACGTCCGCCCGGATCTCAGCGGCATATAGCCACTCCCTTCTTCTTTGTATGTCGAAAAAGTCACTTAACCCATCGACAGTTTCCTCTGACTGGCTAGCTAATGTTTGGAAGAATTTGCACACACCACTCCAGTATAGCGAGAAAACATACAAAGAAGCAGGTTAGGAATTGAAGCTAGCAAGCTATGTACACGGTGTGACTGACCTAGCTCCACCTACACCTGCTACCACGCTTGGTCGTGACCCTGCTCCTGCACACAAACATACAGCGAGCAACACTCATCCGACATGCAAGCAATCCTAGCCGCACCTCTCAGCCCACCGT